AACTAAAAAAAAAAAAAAAAAATCCGTCAGTGTAGGTTAAGACAGGGGCATGAGGTGGGGGACGGTGTGTGTAAGGGATGAAGTAAAAATTTGAATGCCCACGAAAAAAAATACTTACTCGGTGGACTCGATGGTGGGCGTGGTGGGCATGATCATGAGTATGCAGTTAACCAAAATTGTGGTGATGATGAAGAGAGAAAAGAGTGGGTGGACCAGAATGTAGATGGCCACCCGGCGTATCGGATTGAACGGATCGAGGATCCACAGGGCGTCAGTGGCCGAGAATCGGAATATATCCTTTCCCTTGCTGATGACCACGAACGTCTGTAAGACGAAAGAGAGAAGCAAGAAAATTCGTGCATAACTTCTCCATCCGTATTGGCATGCGCCAAAGAGGAAAAAAAAAAAATCACAAATTTTACCGTCACGAGGTATTTTTTTGATTTTTCATTTACTCACCCTTTGATTGTGGTAGTAAGTATCAATATCCTCAAGAGGTGTGGAGGCCAACTCGGGAGGAAATTCGTTGTGCAGTCGGACCGGAATTGGCGCCCCCTGTTCGAACATCGGATCCGGCTGTGGTCCTTCATCTTCATCTTCATCATCGTATCGTACCTATAAACGGTATCATAGAATATCAATCAATAAGTCGCCAAACGTTATTTATCGGTACGCATTGCGGACAGTTTTTTTTTAATCGCTAATAATCGCGACATATACTTATCAGTTATACATAGCTATGCCGAACGATGCGTCGTTAACTTGTTTTTTTCGTTTTTAACCTATTTTTTTTTTGCAGTATGAAAACTCTGCTTCGTTATATATTTTAACCTAAGGTCTAATTAACCTAATGAATTTTGTCTGTCCATCGGTTCTTCGTGTCATTATCGTTATAATGCCGATTCAGTACGGAAACCATATTACGATACGTCTCGATCGGATAGTTGACAACTGTAATTAAGTATTAATTAGTCATTCCTCAAGTGCCAGACTAATCTAATGCATACCGACTACCTATATTTCTAATTTGTGTAAATACAGCGCGATATGCGTTGGCGATTTTTTTTAAATAAATTTTTTTCTTTTTTTTTTTTTACTTTCAAAGGTATCTCTTCCTTATTTCTTTTTTCCTCCTCTCCTGCCGTTTTTTTTTTTTTTTTTTTTTTTTTTTTTTTTTTGCACTACCTATATTTCTAATTTGTGTAAATACAGCGCGATATGCGTTGGCGATTTTTTTTAAATAAATTTTTTTCTTTTTTTTTTTTTACTTTCAAAGGTATCTCTTCCTTATTTCTTTTTTCCTCCTCTCCTGCCGTTTTTTTTTTTTTTTTTTTTTCCTTTATTTTTGCACTTCTCTCACGTCGCGTCCGACGCGCAATCTCAAGCATTACGAAATAATACGTGACATTCGTACTAATTAAGCGTTATAGCACAATTGCCATGCAGGCCTTTTTAGGGAAATACTTAAATCGTCTATCGCGATGGATATAAAGCATACGCAGAGAAGGTATGCGTTTAAATCGAGAAAATCTAAGAGACGTTTAAATATTTCAAAAAAAAGGCGTAAACGTGCGAGCAAGCAAAGCGAGTTGCGTTGGCAGAAACAAAGAAAAGGGGGTTCAGCCAAAAAACCGAATAAAAGTGTCGAAAAATAGTGTCGAGGAGATGCGGAAGTACAGTAACAGTATAGCAATTGCTCTAAGAACAATAAAGTGTAACCGTGTCGAAGTTTTTTTTTCTTTTTTTTCAACTGTACGTCAAAGTTACAGAAAGTGGGTGAAACGTAAAAAGAAAAAATTCAAATTTTTTGAAATTTTAACGGAAGAGTATTAACCAAAAAAAAAAAGCAGTCCTCGTGATTAACGAAAAGTTGCAAACAAAAAAAAAAGCGTAATCTCACGACTCGGTCAAAAAGATTGCAACGGTGATTAAGAATTTAATTTTCGGGGAAAAAAAAAAAGAATCGTTCCCGATAATTAACGTACGAGGCTGACGTCTTGACGAAAGTAAAAAAAGTGAATGAAAAAAAAAAAGAAAAAAATGGCGAGTGAAAAAAAAAATTTTCAAAAAATCTGCCGCAGTGAAATTAGGCGTGGACTTTGCGGTGTTCCAGTTACTTAGCATCGTACAACATCTTACTTCTTTTTTCTTTTTCTTCCGTCCAAAACCTCCCTGCAATTGGATAATGGAGAAAAAGTCGTTACACAGATTACGAGCACAGATAGACAGATAGATAGAGGATATGTGGGAGAAAGAAAGAGAGAAAATAGACGGTAGAGAGGTAGGAGTAGAATAAGAATGAAGGAAGAAAATATTGAGAAATATTATTGGCGAGGGTAGGTGGTTGAGAGGGGGGAGTGGTGGAAGACAAAAATACGATAATCAAGAATAATCATGTAAACAGTAGGCACTTTATCAATCGAGATAAGAAATTTGGGTCATCATCCAATAACACATATAGGGTTAGAGCAGTCAGTGACTAGATTGGAGATAGGTGTATAAAGAGAGACAGAACGATATTTTAAGATTAATCAGGGTGGTTAATTTGAGATTAAAAATATTTCTTATCGACCCAGTATGAAGTTTGTAAAAAAAATTTTTTTCGACTTTTAATCACAAACAGAGACAAGGCACAGGCTCGAGTAATATCAAAGAACATTCTGGAAGAATTTTCATTGCTTGTGTTTAATTGCTGGTATATTTCTTCTTTTTTTGTCACTGGAAATAACAGAGTGACGCAACCACCAAAGGACTTTTTCGAAACTGATAGACAAACACTATGACGAAAATTATGCTTTCCTACGTGTTCTATGAGTGATTTGAATTTACGGTTTTATTCATTATACGTATACAGGACCTTATCGCACTTTTGTAGTATCAAAACGTGACTCAAATTCACTGTGAAAGTGTCGTGCAGATTGTGAAAAAAATATATATTTTACGACACTTTGCTTTTACGTAATCGGTTCCAGGTTTGAGGTTATTTGTACGATAAGACGGTCGGGTTTGCTCAAAATGTGGCTCCGGGAAGTCAGGTAACTGTGCTCGGGTAAATCATTGGGATAAGGATATTTTGAATTTCAAGGACGTTCACAGTGAAATTGGGTATGCTTATCGTATATACGTAATAGTCCTGTATACAAAATGCAATGGCAACGCGTGTGACGGTACTTTGACAAAATAATGCAAAGGGAAGTGTGGATTGGCCTTTTAAATTTTAGATTATAGTGTTTGACTATTCGTCTCGCTACAGGATGGTATTACAGAAAATCCGAAAGAACGTAGAGTAGGATTGGAAAAACATTATAGATATACAGGCACAGCACCTATGACACGGCAAACATCGAGCTCGCACGCAGGGATATGTGTATTTATTTACTTAACTTTTTTTCTGGTCTTGATGTTTTTTTTTTTTACGAAAAAATGGACGAAGAGCGTTCGATAGAGTTCGAACGCGAGGTAGTGCACTATAATACGAGTATCGAGAAGTCAAAATTTGTTTTGGTTTTGGGGGGGTAGAAAAAAACGTCACAATAAAGTCGAAATACCAATTGTAAATTATCTATACGTATATACACTACTGATTTATACAAAATTTTGGAAAAACGTTTCAATTTGACATATTGACAATTGCGTCGCGAGAAAAGAATGTTTACCCTTGCGTAAGGATAAATTTGTTTTTAACTGATTTTCTACTTTGAAAATCGCAATGTTTTTTATTTTTTGAACAAAAAAAATAATTATACACGAAAATTTCGTAAAATATTCACTCGTCGCGTAACCCGTGACAATTTTTCATATGGTAACCTGATTTACGCGTGACCTAAATAAGCGAACCTAAATCCTAAGACGAGTTAAAGAAAATTCCCTAGGAAAATATCGTCCCAGTGATATTTATCCGTTGCGACAATACGTAATAACGACAACGTCAATTACCACATACGCACGGAAGTAAATTCAAGATCTGCACAGACAACGAGAAAAAAAAACAGATGTACGACTGATACATAAAAACGCACATAGATCACAGATAGACAATCAGCTGTAAAATTGGATAGCTAAAAAGTCCCTATACAAAAATAAACATCCGGCAAGCGTAGTAGTGATAGTAGCTGTCATATATCCAATTGAATCCAAGAAAATCCTGTACAGAAATTCCATTAATAAGCCACCAGACGTACAGTATCCCTCCTTTACCGCCTTTGAATTTCATAGTTACTTTCTGCCATAAGGACGTCAAGGAAAGTCCCTAGATTGTTAAAATGACGAATAATACGCTAGACAAGGGACAAAGGTGTCGCCGTGAAATCGTCCTCGTACGGAATATACGTACAGTAACTCATGACAGACCCACGTGCTCCTCCGCTATTATTTTTTAAATATAACTTCCTATAAACAAATTCTTTTCCCTAAATAATTATCAACCACTCGTCCCACTCCATTCTGGTGACTTACCTCGCCTTCTGCTCTCTTCTTCTCGAGCTCCTTCTGCTTGGCATATTCCTCGGCAATGCGAGACTCGATCGCTGCCAGGGACTCCCGCGTGAACGGACGGAACAAACTTCGTTCTTGCTCTGATATCGAGTCAGAGTCTTCGGACATTGTCTAGGCTGCACACGACTGAGCCACCTTTCTGTAAAGTGACAAAAAATGTACATCAGGCCGTACAGACGAAGAGAGGCGTCAAGATCCCCGATCAAGCCCGTAAATTGCAAGCAAAGAATAATTCCTTAAATTCCCTAGCACGATAGCGTACAAGTGAAGCGATAAAATTGGCCGTGTAGTAAATTTGAAAAAAAAAAATAAATTAACTAATTACCTGACGAGCGGTGCTAACAGTTCTCAAAACGACAACGTATGTTCAGCGAGGAGTAGCCAATATGCCTAGGTCGGCTACGACAAGACTTCAGATGGATGCAATAAGGTCGAAGGTTCCTGGTTAAGAGTCGTAGCCGAAGTTGGCCCGACAGCCTACCGGAAATGGGTCTCTTAGGTATACGAGGATAGGACAGAGAAGTGACTTGTGATCTTCGGACGGATGGAGGCGTACTGTCTCGCACCAAACTGAACTCTTCGGGATCCGGTTGATTCTCCTTCGGTTCCACGTGAACGGCTTCCCTGACTTTGTCCTCCGTGCACCTGTCCTCGGCGCTGGGCCCTTTCGAATGCCTAACCGGTACAGACTTCTTGCCGATACTTTGACCAGCGTAGTAGCAATCGGCGCTCTTGCTTCTGCCCTCGCTACCGGATGTCCTTTTGCTTCTTCTGTTCCTGCCGATACTCCGTACGTCCCTTGTGCCGTTCCCGATGCTGATCCTCCTCTTGACACTGCTGCGCTTCCTACTGATCCTGCCGTTACCACTTCCGCCGACTAAGATGCTCCCGCTACTCCTGGTACTTCCGGCACACCTGGTCTCGATGTCTTCGATACTGTTTATACTTGACGACGATACGGCGACGACCTCTAGCGAACGCGCTGCGGCAGTGCGTGGTATGTTGGGGCCCGTCCAACGCGAACCAAGATTTTTCATGTCCGACCTGTAAAAAAAGTAAATTGTCATTAACTTTATTTACCACAATTATCACTACGCTAATATCGATAAAAAAAACAGCGTGAAAAAGATCAATGTGATTGATGACAAAAATGATGTATGAAATTTTAATATTCTCCGCATATAGAGAATCTGTCGTATAACGACAGGAAAATTGTTGAGCTGTACCTGGGGAGCGGTAAATGCTAGTAAGGTTTGAGCCCTGGTCACCCCTCCTACTGTTTACACCCTGGATACGGCCTTAAGCTCCCTCACACGTGTCCAGCTCGCAGTAACAATAAATACTTGAACTATAGAGACGGTCAGGGGTGAAAGTGGCTTCTAGTGACTTCCACTAGGGTATTTAACCTTGCCTGGTTACAGGACTTTAACCGTGATATCGTAAATCATCGCACAAAAGTCTTCGCTTGTGGGTCACGTGGTGCAGAGTTATTGATCGGATTTTAGATGGGGAGGAACTAGGCGTGATGTAACGAACTGGACCAGCTCAGTACTTTTGGTAAACAATAATTAGCCAGAGGGGTACGGCGGAGCCTGGTTAATGCTCGTAAGACCAATTTCTTTTATTCTCCTGATAACAATTTAATGCCTGCCGGCAACGTGCGAACCTTATGCGAATATCGAGGGATGTCCTCGACGTAACCGGACGCCGAGTCGTCGTATTTTTTTTCGCGTTCTCGATGAGTCTCCTGGACCCTTGAGTCCCCGCGAATCGATATCCCTCGAGTCACACGGTCGAGTCTCGTGCCACGGAGGAAAACGTATACGTTTTGTATGCCTGTACCGCGAGTTCAGTGGAGATGTTAGAAAAACACTTTGATAGCGGAAAAAGTCACTAGCCTCATACGAAAATATTACTAGACCGGAGAACATACGAGATTCGTACCGAATTCTTGCCGATATATCGATCGAAAAGACAAAATGACACGTATACGTATATGTATGTATACCTGTCTACAATTGATATTTGAAATTTTTTTTTATCGCAACTAAGTATGCCGTATAAAAATTTTCTAGTAAAAAAAAAAAAATTTTCAGTGATATCGAATCCCTTTTGAGATAGCTCGTGGAGTATAAGTGTTAAAAAAAAAAAGAATGGATTTTGATTTCACATTTGTACAATGTACATGGATACATACAGCAGAACTTCTTATCCTCAACTTTGAGTCGAAATGAATTCGCACAATGTAAACTACGAGCGGAACGATTCGAATTGCTTGACAACTGGGTCATAAGGTCAACGTAGTAGCGACATAGGATAAACAACAATAATTTATTTGCCGTAACTAAGGAAATGCCTGGGTCATGTACTATTCAATATATCGTCGAATGGCAATGTTTCCCATTCGGTGAAATGGGTGGGGGCGAGGGGTGGAATCTCGTTACAAAAGATTCACGATTAAAATATTATTTCGAAAGGTCGATACCAAAAATTTTCAAAGAAAATAACGTACCAGGGATTTTCTTAAATAGATACAAATTTCTTATCGTCCCCTTGTACATTTAATATTTACACTACTTGTCTGATATATTTTTCAATATTTTTTCCCCCCTTTTCTCCTACTACCCCTCCCACCCTCTCACCTTCCCCTTGCTACGTTCGTACCTATCCTTTGGCTCCAAGAAGAAAATCAAATTGTATGAGACCACGCCCGAAACTGCGTCACCGTTACGTCACTGCGCCAAATATATCTGCCCAGTCCGACTTTAACCCCCTATTGTTACCGGATTAAATGACAATCGAAATAGCATCCATTTTATATCTGAACGTAGGTACGCTAATTTTTTTTTAATTTTATAACAATTTTTTTTTGTAAACCGAAACAAAATTTCAGTGGACAGCGGATGCTCGAATTTTCTTAGATACTCACGTATACATGAAGCGGCGAGTAGAATCAATCTATTATCCGAATTATCATAGTCCGGACTTGAACCAGTTTTCTTATCTGTAACAGTAATAACGAATAGTTAAATACGTTGAATTTTTATAATTAATCGTATAATCGATATCGATCTATTTTTTTTACGAAGAATCTTTTTTATCGTTTATCAATATGTTCTCTTGTCTGCCGCTCTTTGACAAGAGTGCTTATACTTGGAGGTATATATATATATATATATGTTTTTATTAGTTGTATAACCACTGCAGGTTTCAGAGTTTCGAATGGGCTCAATAAAATGTATAAAGGCTCATTGTAAATTTACAAAACAAATGGCGACGGCGCTTATCGGAATTCTAAAGAAACCCTGGGCCATTGATATGAACGTGAATTCAGCCTGTTTATAATGCGCGGTTCGTCGATGCGGATTTATACCACTGAAGCTATGACATAACAAAACAATAAGCTTTGCTTTACTACCACAGTGGATATAATCAATGGAGAGACTGTACAATCCATACATAAAATATCGGGTGTGAATTTTCCAAAAGCAGGAAACGCTCGTACATAATAATACGCGTGTTAAATAACAAATTGAGATTATAGTTTTGTAAGAGCGAGTAATAAAAATTGTAAATAAAAACAATATTTCGAAAATCATTAAAAAAAAATTAATTTGTTTCAGACTCCGTCCCTCGTATGTCGTAAGAGATTCGATTGAAGGGGTGGAGGTATTTTCAAAAAAAAAAAAATTACCTCGAAAAATCAAATAGAACGATGAAACAAGGGCACGAAACTGGATGCAATTTTGTAATATATTCGATCGCGTAGAAATTCCGTAAATTTGGCGGGCGCTAAATGCGCCACAGTAGAAATTCCCGTAGCGCTCAGACGAGCACAGGGCCCTGCCGCATTGCGGCTTTTTCCCGATCCCCGTATGTTTGCGGCATGACCTAACCTATAAGTGCCGAGAGGCTTTTCGCATAGATCCTACACCTCGGGCCACGTGCCTTTTTCACTTTTCATCCCTTGGCCAGGCACGCTTTGCTCTTCTTATGCGTGACAGGTATACGAGGCTTATGCGAGTTCACTTGCGTTATACTCTCGTTACCATCGGTCGATAAGTTAAACCCAGAACCATTGCCAATAGAAGAAAAATCATAATAAAAACTCTCACGCGGCACTGCACTAGTATTTTTACAAGATTATAATAAATGATAGGAAAAAATTTAATGAAATTTAGTAAACCTAATAAAAATAATAGTTTTAAGTAAACAAATTTTTATTTTATTATTTTGAATTTTTATGAATTTTTATTCCTCGTCTATACCACGTACCATACATATATAGACATATATAGAAATAGAATTCATTGTATTACATAAAATAATAATTTATTGCTCGATCATTCAACAACACCTCGTTAACGTCCTATCGCCGTATACCTCGCAGTGGCAGAAATGTGCGAAAAAAGAAAGCAAATTTCTTCACGGACACCGAACTGCGACGCAATTTCATTGTTTCCCAGCGATAAGAGCGAACGCATCGATTTTGCCGTTCCATTTTCACAGGTACCCGTCTCTCTGTGTCCCGGGGCACTGTGTTACTTGCAACCGTAGAACTTCCCGACGCGCATCAAGAACCCATTCACAGCGTTACAGCGTCACAGCTGTCGCGCCAGTACAGTAAGATCAGTCGCGTCGTTATGTAACCTCGGAAAATAAATCACGTCGCTCCGGAATTCAATTCGAAGCGTCGCTTTCGCGTAAGCCAACTAAACGCCGCGCCAGTGAAGTTTGAAATTTTCTATTTTTTTTCTTTCGTGCCCTGATTTTTTTATCACCTTCTAACTTTACACTCGAATTACGTCGAACTACGTTACTTCGTTAGCTACTGCCGATCGATATATACATATAGCTGCACGGAAACAGGAGCTTTTCGAGCGAGCTTTGTCAGTCGCTACAGGAATAACCCGATCGTTATATGGGACCACGTAACTTAAGATTTACCAGTGAAATTTTTTTTCAAAATTCTTCCAAAATTACCGCCACGTCACGTATGAGCAAACAGGACCAATGTAAAAAAAATTACACTATCGAAACGAGCTATCGATAATTGTCAACCCTTTTTTTAATTTCCGCATCGAAACATACACATTTTTTTTTTCTGTTGGTACGTCGTGCCACGATATTACAATGCTTATGTAATTACAATAACCATCGGCAGAATACCCCTGGGAACTTAATACAAGATCGGCATAGTGAAAAGAGGTAGTTTCAAATTTGCACGTTTACAAAAAAAAAAAAAAAAAAAAAAAGCAGTCTGACTTTACTGTGTACCACTTTCCTCTCAAACTATAGCTATACGTCATACACATGATCGAAGAATTAATGTCAAGAGTATCTCTCGGAGATCACTCGACCTTACTTAGGTGCAACCTTGCGTATAATCGCGACCCACCCTGGACAATGGGTACTTAAATATCGATCCAGTCGTCTATCAATCTTAAGGGAGCATTCGAGAGGACAGTAGATAAGAAAAACGGATTGTCAATTCATGAGTGAAAATTTTAATATTTAATAATCATTAATTTCATCACAGCAGTGATAACGATAAAGAAATTTGCTTCTGCCAAAATTCACCTGCTGAGCTTTATCGTTGCAATTTTTTTCTATTTACCAGCACTGCTTGCGACCCCCTGGCGATAAATAGATACCGGTCAATTACTGTGAGACAATTGAGTCGCCGTCTTAAGGAGAATTCCGTCGTTTGACACGATTACGGATAAGAGGGCAAGCATATACGTAAGTCGAGCAGAGCGATAGCATCTTTACCTGTACGGTTTCCATTGGACTAATGCAATTGACTGGTGCACTGGGTTTAATTTACAGTAAAACTGCATTAGAGTGCATTGACAGGTGTCGGGATAATAATGCAATTGAGAGGCGCCTCTGAAAATTACAAGACTTTAAAAATTAAGTTTGCGATAAAAATTTTGAAAAAAAATCTCACTTTTTTCAAAATCCCTTTCTCCGCCGGTTCTCACAAAAATATGCATTGCCAATGCGCCGCTGGAACTTTCGAAGCGTAACGCGACTACGTAGCCACACGTGCCACTGGCATCGATGTTAATCACTCTGGCAATAATTAGCAGCGGATATTTTCTTTAATTAACATACTCGCCCTTTTGCGTCTCCCACGTGGATACGTGCTCTCCCGTTACGTAGGTTATATCGGGTGACGCGTATATACGAAACCGAGCCGAGCGAAGGGGAAAAAAAGGAAGTGACGTCACTCGGAGTCTTTTCACCAAATCGAAAAGTCATTTCAATGCATCATCTTTTTTTTTCGTACTTTTGCAATTCCTAATTAATACCCTCGACTCTGTTTCCATATAACTGCGAAAGGGTTGAAAGGACGACGATCCCAAGTGATTTCGTTAAAAATTTTCAGCTTTGATAACTCGAGAGGGAGAACGAGAGATTTTTTTTAGGACAAATGCGTATACAGGGTGTTCAGGCTATTACTAGCCAGCATTATTTTCGTAAATAGAATATATTAGAAAAAAATGATAGAGGAAAAAGTAGTACTGTTTTTTATGCGCAACACAATGACATACGCATTTTTCTTTTATTTACATTATTTTGATAGAAATGAAGGTGACCTTCAATTTTTTTAATGGAATGCTATACATTTTTTTATGTCGTATGAAAGCGCGTGTCAAGACGAATTCATCCATCTACTACACGTTGACCATCAAGGTCATGCAAGGTCAGAAATGGAAGAAACGATTTGAATATTGCGTACCAATGTCCTTTACAAGTATTCATAGCATAATTAACAATGTGCTGTTAGGGCCTTATTTTTATAATGGAATACTAAATGGGCAAAGATATTTAGAGTTTTTAAATACCCAATTTATAGATTATTGGGAAGATCTGCCACTATCCATTACGCAAGGTATGTACTTCCAACAAGATGGGGCCCCACCACATAACAGTAGAACCGTAAGAAATTATCTTAACGACATTATTCAAAACCGATGGATTGGAACATACGGACTTGTCAAGTAGCCTGCAAGATCTCCAGATCTATCACCTCTGGACTTTTCTTTATGGGTTACTATTAAAGAACTAGTTTACGAGACACAGCCCAGCGATATAAACGACTTGAAAACCAAAATAACACAAGCACGTGGATTAATAACTGGGACCAAATTAGAAGAAGCTACTAAAAACGTAATTAACATAGCCGAAATGTGCATTCGTGCGCAAGGAAGCCACTTTGAACATTTGCTGTAGCCTCATTAATAAAGAATACTTGTAAAGGACATTGGTACGCAATATTCAAATTGTTTCTTCCATTTCTGACCTTGCATGACCTTGAAGGTCAATGTGTAGTAGATGGATGAATTCGTCTTGACACGCGCTTTCATACGACATAAAGAAATGTATAGCGTTCCATTTAAAAAATTGAAGTTCACCTTCATTTCTATCGAAATAATGTAAATAAAAGAAAAATGCGTATGTCATTGTGTCGCGCATACAAAACAGTACTACTTTTTCCTTTATCATTTTTTTCTAATATATTCTATTTACAAAAGTAATGCTGGCTAGTAATAGCCTGAACACCCTGTATATATATATATATATATAATTATTTATGTCTCACTTTATTCTCAGTCTGTCTCTTTCTTCGTTCAGAACGTACGCCGCACCCCTATCGTCAGCGGCTGACATAACTTTCATACGTTTCATCGACTATTTCCAGTGCATTACGCTCGGACCGATGCACCCTTACTAAAGTGCAACTGCATAACGGCGATGTCATGCATGAGTGACTACCTGGTAATCCTCGGAAAGTCGATTTAAGGTTAACACGTTTGACGCCTCTATGCAGAGTTTAAATGTTCGAGGAAGCCTGAAAGGCTGCCGCGTACTCGAGTGTAAATAATAATTGACACGTTGGATGAGATAAGAAACTCAATTAACACGAGCAATTACGTGAACAGGATGAAAATAAGAGAGATCCATAGAGCGTATGAAAAATATTAAACAATCGAACAT